TTCTGGACCCTGCTTTAGGCATGGGAACTGCCTTGGTCGAAGATGCTGCAAAATTAATGAGTTAGGAGTGGAGAAGTCAAGGTAAGCACATGGGACCGTCGCTGACCTCTTATGCTGCTGGGGTCAGCCTGGAAGACTGGTGGATGCCTGTGGCCAGTGGAGGCTGCCTGCTTCTGTGTCCTCCCCAGTCTGTGGCTGAGGTTCTTCCAGATGGGGCGGATGGCAGGGGCAGGCAGCTGGGGGGTTTAGGCCTGCAAGGACTAAAGCTATCATTCCACGGGTGTCAGGTGTTAAGATTGGTGGGCCCATAGGGTTTACAAAAACACAGACTTTTCTTTGTTCTTTTCTTTGTCACCCCCAAGGTGACATCCCTTGGGGGCTCCAGGAAGGTGGTTGTTGAGTAGACGGTGGTATGGAGGTGGGGAGTGCGTGCGGTGTTGCCAACAGTGAATGGAAGCTAATTGCTCAGTGGAGAAGTAGGGAACAAGACGATCCCACCACCGGAGCCGTGATAGAGGAGGGCATCGATTCAGGGGCGACAGAGAGATCCTAGGACAAGCTCAGGAGGCTGCTGGGGGAGAGTCTGATGTGGTGATGCTGTTAGTACCAGCGAGTACTAACGAGACAGAGTCTGTCCTGGGGAAGCCAAGACAGGCATAGTCCAGGGCTTCCCCAAGTGTGGGTCCTGAACTCTTCCTGCATAGCGAGATCAGTTGAGTGAACTGGGGTGTGTGTCAAAAAGAAAGACATAGAATAGGAAATACCAGAGCGTGTCCCACCTAGAAAAGGGTGTGTACCATTTTGGGAAGTGTGTGTTTGAAGAGGTAGAAAATGAGGTTTAGGAGTGCAGACGCTGGGACCGGAAGGCCTGGGTTCCGATCACTGTCCTGACACAACCACGTGGCCTGGGGTGAAGGGTAATGACAGAACCCTCCTCATGAGCTATTGTGAGGAATAAATGAGCTAATATTCCAGGAGTGCTTAGAGCAGCGCCTGGTATAGACTGAGCACATAATCAACGTTAGCCATTACACGGTGGTTGGAACCAGAAGAAATTGCTGATATTTGACCATTTGTTACCTATACGAAAGCAATTTTATATGGTTCAACCTAATATATATACACACACACACCTTCTAAGAGTATGATAGCTGCATTATGCATCTGTCATAATGTGCAGTGCATTTCATACTGTGGGTTGGAATAAAAAGGCTGTGTCTCTTGCTGGCTTCCCCTGGCAAGGGAGAGGATATGAGGCATCAGTTTCATAACGGAGCATGAAACTTTTGTAGGGTTTTGCTCTGCAGGTGCCCATGACATGCCCTTTTGCTGTCTTTGTTTGGGTCGCCCTTCCCTTCCTTGCCATCTAAGGATGGATGGGTGTGCTGAGCAACCTAGAGCTCAGTAAACTCCCCTTACTGTAGTGGGTCGCACAGAAGAGCCCACCCCAGGTTCAACCCCAGGCCTCCCTCCTGGCTCTTCTTGAGCCCTGCGTGCTGGGCTGTACAGAGCCTTTTCCCTCCGCATGAACCCGCAGAATCAAAACAAAGCTGTATCGCCTTTAACAGTAATAATCTTTCCCTCATTAAAAAAGAAAAACAATCAGAGCCCCTCGTGTTTTCTTGGGCTTAGATGTTGGTCTTCAGTTATAAAGTTATTTTCTGCTTCCAGCCTAGGAGAGATGACAGAGGTCAAGGGGAAAGACTTGGTGTCTAGAATGATAGCCTGCAAGGGTCGGAGAGAGAATCTGACTTCCAGCCGCTAAGCCGTCCTCCACGTTCCCTTCCCACTGTGGGTTCCGTGCAGACCCCACCTCTTCCCAGTCGGACGTCCTACTTGCTATTCTACTTTGGTTTCCTGGGACATGGCCCCCAGCACCTAGAATGGTGCCTGACACACAGTAGGCGCCCAAGAAATATTTGTTGGATTGAGCCGAGCTGAATAATCCGAAGAGAGATTTTCCTTCTCAAGAGAATTCCTAAGACCCCGGGGAGGGGATGGGGTGTGAGCCACTCCTGAGAGGTCGCCTCCTTCTCTCCACCCACTTTGCTTCTGGTTTATTTCTGGAACTTGGATCATGTTCTTTTGGCCTCCACATGGGCGCTAAATCCACAAAATGGTTTTGTTTTCTCAGATGTTAATTATTCTCTGATCTCAGGATATTAAGGTTTATAGCACAAGGAACAGCATGACTTAATGAAGAATTAATTGTATTGATTATTACCATGTTGTTCACAGATAAATTCCACTCAATTTGCTGCTTGCAATATTGCTTTCGTGCCAAGTGATCCGGTGCCTACTTTCTGTCTTGGGCGGCTTGCCTCTTTTTCGCTGAGAAGGTGCTTGTTGCTGTGTGAGAAATGGCTCCTTTCGTGCGGAGGCACCAGACTTGTCCCCGTGAGGCTGTTTGGTCTGCTTGGCCGTGGGAGATGGTCTGTGTCCTCCTGGGACAAACTGCCCAGCATCCTGCCCCAGAAGCAGTCCCAGTCTGGGGTCGGGAGCACAGCTCTCCCCACACTCCCCAGTCTTCTCGTGTCAGGGGAGCTCTCTTCCCCTCTGAGCCTCAGCTCTGTTGTGTCAGTGGCCTGTGTGTGTGTGTGTGTGTGTGTGCGCACGCACGTGCACACACGTGTTCCTGGACACCTCCTTTGGGCCAGGCCTGTGCTGAGTGTGGGGTTTACTCAAAGTCTGTGACTATCCTGCAGGTCTTTTCAGACGATATCTGAATTGTCTTCCTCCCCTTGAAGCCCCCCTTTACAATCATCTGGATCTTGAACTTCAGGAACAAAAGACTCTCTAAGTGATAGCTGGATGAAACGTATATCTCATAGGAGATTGGGATTCTGTGCATAAAAATGGCGTGAAATGGAGGATGGGGATAATTGATCCTGCCTCTGGAGAGTGTGATATTGTGATAAAATAGGAAATAGATATTTGAGCTTCTTCCCTGGTTCTGGAAGCTCCTAAAGTCCTTGGAACCTCTGGAGTGGCTAACCAGATGACTGGTGGCTCGGGTCCTTGGATAGTTGCAGGATGGGGGCTGGTTGCCAGAAAGACCAAGGTGTGATGAGAGGGTCGGAGCTTTTAGCCCCAGGCCCCAACATCCAGGGAGGGGAGAGGGCTGGAGAATTGAGTTCCATTACCAGTGGCCAGTGATTGCATCAGCCATGCTCACATTGTGGAATCTCCATGAAAACCCTGAATAACAGGGTTCAGAGAGCTTCCAGGCTGGTGAACACATTGAGGTGCTGGGAGGGTTGTGTGTCCAGAAAGGGTATGGAAGCTCCACGCCCGCTCGGGCCCCTTCTGTACCTTGTCTTGGGCATCTCTTCCATTCGGCTGTTCCTGAGTTGCATCCCTTATAACAAACCAGGAAGTGTTAGTAAAGAGCTTTCCTGAGTTCTGTGAGCCATTCTAGCAAATGATCAAATTCCAGGTGGGTTTGTGGGAACCCCAGACTTTAGAGCTGCTGGTCAGTCAGAAGTATGGGTGGCCTGACTTGCGACTTGCGTCTGAGGTGAGGCGAGGTCTGTGGGGCCTGACCCGTGGGGTCTGCACTAACTGTGAGTAGTTACCGTCACGGGTGGATGAAATCGTTGGATGCTGGATTGGTATCCAGAGAGTTGGAGAATTAGTTGGCATGGGACCCCCCCCACCCCTGCCAGTTGGTGTCAGAAGTGAGTAGAAATGGATCCTAGTGGGCAACTTGGCAATATGTATGAAGTGCCTTAAAATGTTCCTGCCCTTTGACCCAGGAATTCCATTCCTGGGATATCATCTTAAGGAAAGGATCATCAAAACTCATGAAAATTTCCCTACAAAGATTTCCATGGCAGCATTATTTAAAAGTAGAAATGATCTGAATGTCCCACACTAGGAGTTTGGGGAACTCAGTTGGGCTGTAGGCATAATATGGGATACTATGTAGCCATCAGAAATGATGTTTTAAAGACTAATAAACAACATGGAAGATCGAAATGGTTGTGTGTTAAATGGAAAAAAAAATAAAGCTATAGAGAGTGCAGGATCCAAATTTAATTAAGAATATTTGTATGTAAAGAGTTTGGAATAAAATGCCCTAATATATTAAGCATGGTTATTGCTGACTGGTGAATTAGATTATTTTTTTTTCCTTATACATTTTGGGGGCATTTTTCATAAGAAGCATACATCAGTGTGTAACCTGGGAAATGTTCCATTCCTGGGCGGGTCCAGCTCTGGTCTTCTGACCCCAGAGGTCAGGTCCAGAACCTCTCAAGACAGAAAACTGCCCTTCCTCTCTCTCTTCACTCAGAATGTCTTTTTGTCTAAAGACCCTCCAGCCATTCTCACCCTCATACATATTCACATCTAATTTTAATGATTTTCCTTTCAGCTCTGCCTAGAACATTCTGTCCAACATGGGGTGCCCCTGGCTGGGATGGGCTTTCATTGTTAGTGTCTGGTCTAATTTGCTTTGTTCTTGTACTGTTGGGGAATTTTCCATCAGCTTAAGCAACCTGGCATGCCGAAATCCATTCAGCTTTACCTGTGCAAGTATAAAATTTGGGGACAGATAAACTCTGTCCTAGCTCTTAAACCCTTTGAAATGCCCCTAACTTCCTGACTGCCTTGTACCACCCAATTTTAGGAAAGAAATGATTATTTTTTCATGACCTGGGATACTGAGTCTTTGTCTAATTTCACCACTTAGTAAGTCACTGAGATGCTTTTCTTTCTGAATGCTGGCTAGGCAAGGAGTTGGCTTTGCTTTTAAATTCAAGGTGCCATTTGGGTCATGAGGTAATGAAATTGGCCAGGAGCATGGGGAAACCTGAGATACACAATATGAGCCGCGCATCACTGGCCCACCAGCCTTGAGTGTTGGGCCTTCGATGTTTTTCAACACTGCCTCTTGTCTGCTCCCAGGGTTTACCAGTGACTCAGGACGAGTCTAGGGCCTCAGTGCTCAACTCCGGATTCTAGCCTTAGATCACAGAGGCAATGATGCTGTCTGGGAGGGATGGTGACCATTGCCAGCCATATCCTTTTGCAGGTGCCTCTAACAGCAGTCGTTGCCTGCAACCAGGAACCTGGACCCAAAGAGTGCATCACTTCTGCCCCCTTGCTCATGCCATGCCCCTGCTGGAAAGCCCTCTTTGTCGCATTGACTACGATTCTCAGCCTCCTTCCAGGCTCTCCTAAGGCTCACCTTGCTTTGTTCAGGACAAATTATGCTCAGAGGCTGAGATCGCCTTTGCCAATAATTTATTTAATCAGGTTCACTGTGGGAATTATAATTTATAATAATAATATTTCATAAGCCAACAAAGCATGTGTCTCCTAATAACCCAGTAAAGAAATAACATACTTCAAGCTAGTGATAGATTTATTATGCTATTGTTCAGGCAAAGGGGAGATGAAAGAAATAAAGCCCAAATTTAGTTGGAGGTGTACCTTTCTATGAGTTGGTTCTCAGTAGGGTCAGTCCTTCCAACTAAAAGTTGGGTATCATTCACTGCTAGGGCACATAGCTAGCAGGTGTTGGTACCTGTGTTGGCAGGCAAGGTAGGCTGCTCTGAAGGTTATTACTCCAGGGACTGTTACATGGCTTGCCCCACTGCCTACGAGGAGAAACCCCACCAAGGCAGGAACAGAGGTCCCTTCTCTTCTTGAGACTGCGGCACGGTTTAAACCCCACCGCTAACCAAGAGTAGCCTGGCCACGGCAGCAGCAAGTGTCTCAAGAGCTTTGGAAAGCTATATAGATCAGCAAAGAGTAGCCTCGCCCAGACCAAATACTCTCAAGTAACCGGTCGCACCTCTTGGTCCATCATGTGATGGACGCCATTGCCATTACTATGGTGTCCAGGGCACAATGGTCCTCTCAGCTTCAGGTGCAAGAGTTGGATAAGAAGGTCCTAATATTCAACTTCAAAACAGTTTCATCAAAACAAGTCATTCAAAACAAATTCAAACCACAAACAGCTTTGCCCCAAACAAGCTTGCAAGACATGGATTTGAAATCCTAACACGTCAGCAGGCAACACACCTCCTCCCTGTGTATTTCCGGGTGTTTTCTGTTTTGGCCTCTCTCTCCTGTCTCCTGTGCATCCTCTTTTTTTCTCAGGTAAACCTTCCGTCCTTTAAGGCTCCTTTGCGAAACACGACTCCACTTAAACAGATAAATGAACAAAGAAATACAGAAATGCCTCCAGGGTTGGGACCCCTCTTAACTGTGACTCCGTTGTGTTCCACTGTAGCGTTCATTACCATCTGAATCTGTGGAAGAAGCCCAATGAACGAGCACTTGTTGAAATGGATGCAGTCACACCTCAAACAGCAAATAACCTAGGAGTGAGGCTCCTTTAGCCCTTTGAAGACAGTACCAAGAAAAAAAAATCCAGCGTAATAAAGCGCGCTGTACAGAGCAGTGCCGAGCCCCACCCTGCCCCATCCACCTGACCCGTCCCCAGTCAGTGTTATTCAATGCAGAACACTTCTGACCCTGCCTCCTCCTGGCACAAAGGTCCTCCTTGGGGACCCTGAACCCCTCCCTGGCTGTTGGAACCCTCGCCCCTGTGTTCCCTAATTATTGAAAACAACTAGTTGTATTTGTGGACTGATTGAGTAGAATTAAATTGGAACTCGTTCACACTAAAACCCGCACTGGGATTGAACCAGCGTTTTATATGCAATTATGGTCATTCTGTTCCCATTTTCCATTCTGGTTGTATACTCAGTATTACCAGTCAGCAATAGCTAGTCCCTTATTTCCAAATGCTCACCAAACCTGGCTGCCCGGGTATCTCTCCTTGCCCTGTACTCCGTGTGGCCGAAATGCCCCTTCCCTTCCCACTCTGAAAACACATGCTTCCTCCTGAATTCTCTCTCAGTTAATGCCATCAGCCCTCAACCCCATCAGGCCAACTAGAAACCCCAGCATCATCCTCAAAGCCCCCTCTCTTAAACCCCGGACACCTGAGCCCTCCCGGCTGACCACCTAGAAAAGTCCCTCGGACCCTGCTAGCAACTCCACGTTGCCAAGCTCAGGCTTCTCATCTTCTTGTAGACTCTGTGGTGAGGCCTCCCGGTGAGGGCTCTGCTTCTCACCTCTCAGCCACCCAGGTGCCAGATCCCTCAGTTTCAAAAGTCAATCTGATCCTGGGGCTCCTGGGTGGCTCAGTTGGTTAAGCGTCCAACTCTTGATTTGGGCTCAGGTCATGATCTCAGGGTCTTGGGATTGAGCCCCGCATTGGGCTCTGTGTTCAGCATGGAGTCTCCTTGTCCTTCTCCCTCTGGTGCTCCCCACCATTTGTGTTCTCTCTCTCTCAAATAAATACATAAAATCTTAAAAAAAAAAATCTGATCCTTTCTTTCTTTCTTTTTTTTTTTTTTAAATTTATAACCACTGAGGGCTCCGTGGCCTGCAGCAGGAGTTTACAAACTAACTATAAAAGGCCAAAGTGGACTGTTTCAGGCCTTGGGGGCCAAACCATCCCTGTCACAACTTCTCAGTTTTATTTGTGTAGTACCAGAGCACTACCCAGTAGGCAGCAGACATAGACAGCGTGTAAATGATGCGTTCCAGAAACACTTTATTTTCAAAGCAGGTGGCGGGCCAGATTTGGCCATGGGCCATCATTTGCCACCGCGTGGTCTGCAGGGTACCGCTCGGATGGCTCCCCGGGGCCCTTTGTGATCTTGCCCTCGTGCGCTTCTTCCCCTCATCTCTCAATGTCAGAAGATTCTGGTATAACCCTGTCACAAGAGCTGGCTCTCTCATATGGAAGGATATCCATGGGTTTTCTGTAGGCTTGTAGATTGCTCTTGTCATTCTCTGCTGTGACTATCCCATCTCCTCTCTGTCTCTCCAACTAGAACATAAGCTTCTTATAGCTTGGAAAGTTTCTTTTGCTACCTAACTATTCTAGCACGGCATATGGCATGCAGTAAGTAAACAGCAACTCTTCAGTGAATGAACGGCTGTATTAATCATCTCTAAATATTCATTTGTCTTTCACAGAGCAGATGGAGATTCTTCTAGATCTCTTTTGTCATTGACTCAGTCCCTGTCCTATTAATTCCTCTGAATAAAGACCTTGAGGTTCCTATCTTGTGTTTTCTGGTGCACTTATGTTGGTGTTCAATAATTACCTTGCTGAATCGCATGTCTCCAGTTTTGCCATTTCTCAATGATGTGTATCAACAAAACGCATCTTGCTCATTAATAGAGCTATCGCTTCTTGTGCTTAAAGCCCACATTCTTCCTAAAGACACATTTCTGTGGAGACTAGACAGATTTCGCATCTAACAGGGGTTGAGGTAGGAAAAACCGTTGTTCTTCATTACCGATTCGGAGTTTGCAAATTAGCGCCGTGAATTTCAGCCGATTCTTCAAGGCCAACGAATTCATTAGCCAACGAAGATTGACTCTGGCTGGTGTCTGGTTTTCATCTGATGCACACTTTATTGGGGCGGCCTGCCTGATGAGTCTGTTCTATATGATGGCCGTGCCTCTGCCGTTGTTCGTGCCCGAATTGGCCATGTCCCTGGGTGGGGGGGCGTCATGGAACTGAAGCCTGGTTCTTAGGGGGCACTGGGTTGGGAGGCCGGTGGTACCAGTGGTGTTTCTGATGGTTTTAAGAAGACACACTTGCTGGTGTAACGAGAAGTAAATGTCTTGGGCTCTAGAGCAGCTTGATTTCTAGTCCAGACCTTGCTTGGCTCCAGAATATCAGGGAGGAGAGGTGCAGATCCCTGTGGGAATGCAGACTTTGTTCTGGGAGATCCCATATGCAGAGAGCGGATTCCTTCTGCCAGAAGGTGTGTCGTATGACGCTACCTGTCATGGTCCACAAAATGGTGGTTGGCCGGGCTCTCGTCGCCATCACCGTGGCCCCTTCTGGAATCTGCAAAGGCCTCTTGCCGGTGGGCGAGTTGCCGTGCCAGTTTCTGATATGAGCATGAAACTAACTTAAAGACCAAAAGCACAGCACGCTTATGTAACTCTGAAGCACCGGGGACTTTAGCCCAGAGAGGGGATAAATTCCAGCGAAAAGCACACCACGTTACGGGGTTGTTCCTGAAGCCTGATCTGTGGTCCTCACTTCCCAAGGATGTGGAGAGTGGCCAGGGCCCCTCCGTGTTGCCCGCAGGCTGCCTGTAGCCATAGGCAGGGGGATCCGGCCTGCTTCTGTGTCTCTGCTGGTTTTATGGGCATATTTCTCACACCCTGTTCTGCTATTAAAAATAAAAATAAAACGAGGCACACATCACATGTCTCCGGCTGCAAGACCCATTTCCTTCTAATAAGCTTCTCATTTGCCTGGGCGTTCCCTCCCCTGGAAAGATTAAATCTCCAGAGGCTCCCATTATGGATTTCTAGTTTTGTACTTTTTTTCCTCCCTCTCTGTTATTTTGAAAGAAAATGAAGTTAGTGAGCTTTGTCTGCACACACACACACACACACACACACACTCACACTCTCTCTGTCTCTCTCTCTACTTGGGAGCCAGGATCAGAAATTCTGGGCAAACAGCGAAGTGCAGCTTTGTCCCACTTACCTGGGGGCCGCAGAAAACAGAACTCTGAGCTGGTTTTTACCTGTGCTGTGCTGTTTTGGGCTGGAGCAGGGCTGGCCTGCTTACTTACTGCAGACGGCAAACTATGGGGGTGTGAAGCCTCAAGGGATCACGTCCCTTCCCGGAAGGCCAGCTCTGTGATGGCCTCCGTCTGACTCCTGCAGCCCACGGGTGAGGTGGCTCTAGGAGTAGCCCGGGCAGTGAGGTGGGGGTCGGGAGGCACACCCATCAAGGCCTTTATTTCTAGGCCAAGTTCACACACATCCTCGATCAGGCCTCTCTGGGGTGTCCAGTGTAAGGATACAGCCTTGTTCATTTGTGAGATCTAGGGCATATGCAGGGGGATCACAGGAATGAGGCCAGACTCTGTCACCCTGTCAACAGAAGGGAATTGCCCTGTCGGAGTGATCGAAACAGCCAGGGAGCTCGGGATTGAGTCAGAGGGACGGTGAGTGGAGATGTGCCTCGGGAAAGGAGGACAAGGGGCCGAGCTCATCGTGCAGCCGGTCATCCAGGTGGCCCACCTAAGACCCTGGCGCCTCTTCTTTGACTCCAGGCCAGGCCCCTGTCATCATCTGACATTTCCTACTATTGCATGGTATATGCCAGCTCTGAAGTAGAGCCCCATTAGAGAGGCTAGAAGGAGAGCCAACCCAACTCGTTTTTCAGATGGGGGCCATCGAGGCTGAGGGAGAAGCCTGCCCTGGGTGTAGGTAGGGCCAGACTGACTTCCTTGTGGGCTGACTCCCACCTCGGGAGACCCTGCATCTGCATCCGCCTGCCCTCGGCATCTGGGCTCAGGCCATGTGAGGCCAGGGTCTCCGCCCCACTGTCCTTGAGTGTTGTGTGCCATGACCTCATGCTGAGCAGTGACTCTAAGCTCTTTCCGGGCCACCTGGGACTTGGTAGGAAAACATATGTCTGCCTGAGGGAATCTTGGGCATGTTTCATGGGCGAGAAAAGCCTAAAAGTGCAGACAAACCCCTTGATTCAGAATTTGGACCAGACTGAAATTATTTCTTTATCCTCAATGGAAAAAAGAGGGGTGTTTGAACAGTAGATTAATAGGGTATGAAAGAGAACACAGGCTTCCTGTTCTTCTCTTAAACACTTTAACAATGTCCACAGATCCCCAGAAAAGGTCTGGAAGGACCTTGGGGATCCTCGTGGCCAACCCAGCTCATTTTACACATGAACAATCTGAGGCCTCAGGGTTTGGCTGCGGACCTAATTAGCTAATGCGCCTGGCCAGGAGCCTAGGGTCCCAGCTCACAGGCTGGTCTTCTGTCTGCTGGAGCCCACACTTATTCTCAGAAAGCACTGAACGTGCAGAATTAGTACTGATAGTGAATTTGCTACTAATACACGAGCCCTACCTATTGAGACCCATCATCCATTGAACAGCGGTCTGTGTAATGCCTCCTTCAAAGTGTCAGTGGGAATACAAAGATGAATTAAGTGTATGAAGAGGTGATTTCTGATACATGTAAGATACATACAAGACACATACAATGATACATACAAGAGATGTATGATTTCTGCACCAACCATCGTGTCTTTAGATGGGATGGGCTGACGTCATGAGAAAGGAACGAACGAACCACTGAACAGGAGCAGAGAGGGAGAGACACTGGCCATGGTGGGCAAAGACATTTTTGTGGAACCCACGGTTCCTGACTCAGCCTTGAAGGACCGACAGGATTTGGGCAGCTAAAGAGGAAGGCAAGGCATTCCAGGTGGAAATCCTGGGATGGGAGAGGGCAGCAGTCTGAAAATCGGGCCCCAGAGGTATCAGGTCCTCAACCTTGGAACTTGTAAATATTTCCTTGGGGGGAAAAAAAAAGGCTTTTGCAGATGTTAAGCTGAGGGTCTTGAGATGGGGAGCTTTTCCTGTGTTATCTGGGTGGGTCCTAAATGCCATCACAAGTGTCCTTAGAAGTGGAAGGCAGAGGAACATCACAGACAGAAGAGGAAAAGTGGGGTGCCTGGGTGGCTCAGTCGGTTAGGCGTCTGCCTTAAGCTCGGGTCCTGATCCCAGGGTCCTGGGATCGAGCCCTGCATCAGGCTCCTTGCTCGGTGGGAAGCCTGCTTCTCTCTCTCCCTCTGCCTGCCACTCCCCCTGCTTGTGCTCTCTCTCTCTATCAAATAAATAAAATCTTTATTAAAAAAAAAAAAGAGGAAAAGGTGATGTGGCCACAGAGGCAGGGATTGGAGGGACCTGGCCACAAACCAAGGAATGCCGGCAGCCACCCAAAGCTGGAAGAGGCAAGGGACAGATTCTGCCCTAGGAGAGCACAGCCCTGTCCCCAACTTGATTTTGGTCCAGTGATCCTGATTTCGTACCTCGGCTTCCAGATTGTGAGAGAAGAAATTTCTGTTGTTGGGTGCCTGGGTGGCTCAGTCGGTTACGTGTCTGCCTTGGGCTCAGGTCATGATCTGGGATCGAGCCCCATGTCGGGCTCCCTGCTCCACAGGGGTTCTGCTTCTCCCTCTCCCTCTGCTGCTCCCCCTGCTTGTGCTCTCTCTCTCTCTCCATCAAATAAATAACATCTTAAAAAAATAAAAGAAATTTCTGTTGTTTTTAGCCACAATGTTTGTAGTGATTTGTTACAACAGCCCCGGGAAATTCATACAAATGGGAAGGGGCCAGAGCTTGTTTGGGTAAGGGTGTGGTTCCAGGTGTTGCCCAGGAGCATAGTCAGCTTTTTCGAGAAGCAGTAGGTAAACGGGTTAGGGCCAGTGTCGATGAAAAGTCAAAGCTAGCCAAGTCTGGTGCTCAGACACCATTGATGAACCTGTCATTTTCAGACTATGATCTCGAATTCTCCATGCCATGCCTCGTGGCGGTGTGATGTGTTAATGCTCAGCCAACCCAGGACCGACAGGCCACGGGGGCTCTGGAGGGAGGGGTTCTGGGCCAAATGCAGAACAACTCAGGCTGGGGTCAGAGGATGGGCGATCACCTGCTGAGTGGGATGGCCTTGTTGATATCAGATCCTCTGCTGGCCTGGAGAGAATGTGATTAAAGATGCCTTTTTTGGGCTTTTATGACAGTCTTATTGATCTGAGGTTGTGTATAGCCGTAAAATAGCTGTAAATTAGAGGATGAAATAAAAACAGCAGGATAGTAACTCCTGTCTTCCTACGGGGTTAAAAAAAGCCTTCTGCCCAGCTCCACCTGCAGCAGGGGGCTGATACACGAGCCTGCAGAGGGGAATCTTGTTCTTGTTTCTGCAGACGAAGTGCCCGGGTTAAGAGGCAACCCTGTCCTCAAGGCTGAAACCTAACCTGCTCGTTCCTGCCCAGGAAGTGTCCTCAGCGAACACAGGTCTCCGCTGGGACCACCGTCGAATTGTGCGGCGACTGTGGTGTTTTAAGGATGCTTGGGGCTGGTTTTCTTTTTTCCTTTACCCCTTTTCTTCCTTTCCTTGTTTTTCATTCCTCTTTCTTTCTTTAAGGATGCTTGGGGCTGGTTTTCTTTTTTCCTTTACCCCTTTTCTTCCTTTCCTTGTTTTTCATTCCTCTTTCTTTCTTTTGTCCCTCTTTTGGCCGCTCTTTTATCTGATTAAAGGGTTCTGACATATCAGTATTTGTAAGGCCGTTAGGAGTGTTCAGTAGAGGATCACTGGTAATTTCAATGCAACAGACCAAGCCATGTGACCATCGGACTTTGTTTGCTTTCCCCTTGTAGAGATCCGAGAGGCCTTTCGGGTTCTGGACCGAGATGGGAATGGCTTCATCTCCAAGCAGGAGCTAGGAATGGCCATGCGTTCTTTGGGGTACATGCCGAGTGAGGTGGAGCTGGCCATCATCATGCAGCGCCTGGACATGGACGGTGAGCCCCGGGCGCACAGCGTGTCCCCCAGGATGAGCCCCGGCTCATCAGTGAGACCTTGGCTTTAAAGGGCCTTGCACTTGGGGTCAAAAGGCTTGGGGTCATGTCTTGGTTTACATTTGAGGGCTAGACCAAGGTTGTTCCAACAACACTCCGTGCAGTCCCTGGGGCCTGCAAAGGTGGTTCTGGGGCCACTGGAGGGAACAGGGTGAGGGAGGTGGTCTGGCCGCTGGAACAGCCACCACAGATCTTTCCTCCTCTCCTCCCTCTCCGTTCAATAGCTTTACGGAGATAGAGTGCACATGCCGTAAAACTCACCCATTTCAACAGTGTGATTCAATGGCGTTTAGTGGATTCACAAATTGGGGTAACCACGCTGTAATCAATTTTAGAGCATTGTCACCACTCCAAAAAGAAACGCGACCTTTCAGCTGCCACCTCGCATCTCTCTATCCCCCAAGCCCTAGGCAACCACTAATCTACTTTCTGTTTCTGTGGATTTGCTCTCTGGGCATTTCATATAAGATGGAATCCTACAATGTGTGGTCCTTTGCGACTGGCTGCTTTTACTTAGCATAATGTTTGCAAGGTTTATCCACATTATAGCATGTATTTGTACTTTTTTTTTTTTTTATGGCCAAATCATATGCCATTGTATGGGTATAATAACAGTTTCTTTTCTCTCTCTTTCACTTACTGGGTTTCTATATACGACCTCACTGGGGAAAAGGGTTTCACTGTATTTTAAAAGTTCTAAAAAGTGACACATGACATCTTTAAGGTTCTTTCCTGTTCCAAAACCCTGAGGCTATCCCAAACCAGTTGTGACCCTCCTGACATTTAGATTCTGCCTTGGCTGAAGGTCCAAGAAAAAGCCTTCTTCTTCTTTTTTTTTTTTTTCAACACACACTTGCCCCCTCTGAAAAGCAGCTCAGTCCCAGGCCTCAGGGGGTCCAGAGTGGTGAGCATTGGGACTCTCAGGTAGAACATGAAGTATACAAGGAAAAAACAGGAAGCAGAGCATGGGGTCAGGAAGTCCCTTGGAGGAAAAGACTGTGGTAGGGAGATGTTTGCTTGGCCTGCAGCTGATTGGAAGAACCAGCTCTCTCCTGTTATCTCGCTGGAATTGCTGGAAGGATGATAATAAGGGTGACCATATGGTGAATGAACTCCAGCACCAGCCACCAAGTGCAGCTGTGGACATTTATTTTCTGGTTCAGGAAAGGGATGTTTCATCAGTGGTATAAGCAGTCCCAGCCTTGTCCTTACAACTCTGATTGATTGTGACTCACCATGTCTTTGCAGGACCGATTTGACCTTGCTTTATATTTAGCTGCTTGCTTTAGATATTTCTGAAAAGCTAGAGCAAAGCGCAAATCATATAGCAAAATCTGTTTTCCACTGACCCCCATCATCATTTCGGAGATACATTTCCAGAAAAGGTTTCCTCCTTAAAATAATAGAAATCTTAAGCTACACTTCCGTTTTTGGGACAAAGATTCTGTGCTTTTGATTCTCCGCCCACAACTCCTGTAACAAAACCTAGTCGAATGGACTACAAGCAAATGGAATTAGCAATATTTAATAAAAACGAGCCAGCCCTATTGTGGGTGAGTTACTCCTCTGAAATGGAAGGGTCTTCATCAAAGTCCATCCTACTTCTTTGCGTATTCACTCCTTGGGTCTCAGCTCTCACAGGGAGTTTTTACATTGTCACAAATCCTCCCTGAGTCCATGAGGTCTTGGAGGCCCAGGGGATCTTGTGTGTCCCGGGTGTGCAAGGGACCCATCGGGACTTGGGCAGAGCTCCATATGGGGTTTAGTTTAAGAGCTTCCAAGTTTTGCCCATTTATTTACAACTTACATACTCAGCTACCAATGCCAAAGGCAGAACTTACCAGAACTTAAAAGGACTAAGCAGTTCTCTTGTAGAGAACTTCTATTCGTTCCTTTAACAAAAGATCGGGTTTAAAAAAAAAAAAAAAAGCTGAGGTCATCAGCTGCTTCACGGTGATGAAATCATGTCAAAACACGTTTCTTTACTTTTGAAGCGCAGCTTCTTTGAGGTTTTGTTTTGTTGCTTACAAAAGATTTAATGCAGCAACATGAAGACAGAGCAGTGATGTACGTAGAAGGAATTGCTCCAGCAGTTTATTAATTGCCTAAGTGTTAAAGAACTAAGTGAAGGATGCCCAGTCTGAGGCTGAAATGTGTGTATTTAAGAGTTCTGTGAATGAGGCTGGTAAGTGGGATTTCTGGGGTACTGCATTCTGGATATGGGTGGACTGTGTCTCATGTCCTTTGCTTAATGGGCCTTTTGAGCTTCTGTTAAAAAAAAAATAGGTCCTAATTATATCCTTCCTTTCTAACTTCTGTAACTGGGGGTTCTCCACAGAGATTTGGCCTTACTGAATTAAGCTATTCTTTGGCATGAAACTTGTGGAATGGCAGACATTTTTATGGGGACACTGCTCAAAAAATGGGGTGTTTGGGCTGGAGCTTGGGATTCCTAGCCGTAGGCTGATGGTGCCTCCGGGCTCGCAGTCCCTGGTGTCCGGGGGACAGCAGGAGATGGGGCAGTGCCTCTGTCCACCCCAGCTGGCTGTGATTAGGAGCAGGTCTGGCCCACACACCGACCTTCTCTTTCTGGGGTCCCTGCCAGTTTGCCCGACGGTGAGGTCATCCCTTTGGCACAAGGGATATAGGCTGAGTGTGTCTGTGCAACTGAAGTTGACACATGAGGCTTTCATTAGGTGGTTCCTTGGGAGTGGGGTGCCTTGCTGCCTAAGCATGTAATAGTAACCTGCCTGGATTAGGGAGCTCGGCGGGATTTCCTGGACACGGAGCCTGCAGGAGCCAGACAGTTCCAGTCTGTGTGTGGAGCTGGTTTTCCAGAGGACACAGTGCGAGGCAGGCTGTAGGGTCTGGGATTGCTCTCTTGGCCTGTGGCCAATTTGCCTTAAGTGCTGGGACTCTGTGTGTGTGTGTGCATGTGTGTGCTCGTGCATGCACACACACAAACACACGTGCGCTGATGGGCAGATCTGCTCCGAGTTAAATAAACAGAAAGCCAGAATTTGTGCCCAAGGCCCATTGCTTCCTCTTTGGCCCTTGGCGGCAAAGGTTCTTTCTTGTAACTTTTAACTCAATTGCACACCGCCTGGTGCTCGCGGTTCTTCTCCCCTTTCCAGCCTCTGCAGCTGAGGTGACTTACGCCCTAGCACCAGGAGGGAGCCGGGATTCGCCTTTCCTGGGTGCTTTTTGCCAGGATCTCACCTTCAGCCCAGAATCTGGAAGCCCGCAGCCTTCTCCATCAGGCTCGTCGGGAATTGACTTTACTCCAATGCATCGCGGTCCTAGTTAGGTACGATCCTTGGAAGAATGGATAAAATAGCCACCCAAAAAAGTGTCTGCGAAGCTGACATCTTTCAGAGAAGTGGGTTGAGAAAGGCTGCTTGCAAAGGACTGTGGGCTCTGCCACGTCCCGTCCGCTCCCCTCACCTCTATGTTTCCCACAGCAGCCCCGGGGCCCCCCAGCGCTTCCAGCCTCCTTCGCTGGGGAATAAGACCTTGGGAACTTCAAGACCCAACAGCTATTTTTGACTGCTTTCCAGCTTTTAATAGTTTCACCAACCACACCACTGTCGCCATCTGGAATGAATGCAGCTAGCTTTGCAAATAGTTTCCCAAAACACTCAAACCAGGAGACATTCTCAGCAGCTCGTGGCTTTTGCGAGGGCCCCAGTGGCAGGTGCTCATGCTATCCTCTCCCCCTACAAGCGCCCCTCAGGGCTCCCGCACTTACCCAGCAGACGTCCCTCATTGAAACAAAGGCAGATCCTGCCTTCTTCCTTCTCAAATTCCTTTCTGCCCCTCAAAGGTGCAGAATCTCGTGAGATCCTAGCAAATGTGGGGTTTCTAAATGACTTCCTGCCTCTGAACAGGTTCATGTTTGTTTTCAGGCCCACCTCCGTGTCGAGAGTGAGTTGGACTCCAGTTTAGTTCGATTTTTAAAAGGATTTATCTGGCGGCCGCTGTGTGTGAACTTGCTCGTTTCCATGTTCGGCAAGATTCACTTTTGGCTCGTTTTGAGACAAGCCACTGATCCGCAAAGAACAAAACTGTGGCCAGAGACACAAGGGAGAGTTAGCAATGTCCTTGCTGTCAGCCACCTGTTCATTATAGGGATATCCTTTGCTGATGCATCCCGATTGGGACCTCTCTGTTATCATTCGTGACCTCCTAGAAGACAAAAAGTACCAGCTTAATTCAGAGGAGCGCTCACTTCTGCCCCACATTCGTCCACATCCGGGTCCTGATTGGGAGGCTCTGGGACAGCCATCGGTCTGTTTTGGGAGCTGGGATGCAGGCTTCTTTCCCGAGTGTGAGGGAAGATGCTTGTCCACAAGCTGCATGAATGGAAACGCCTGGTATGAGGTGGAAGCTGTTGGGGCCATAAGCAGAGGGTCCCAAACCTGGTGCACGTCAGACCACACCCAGGGGGTGTGCTTAAAACAAAAAAAACCAGAGCAGTAGAATCAGAAACCACAGGGTGGGGCCTGGAAGCATGAATCCTGTAACAATCTCATCAAGTTACGGACAGCAGTGTGTCCATTGATGTAACTGGGGGACCTTTGGCTGAAAGAAAAATCTAAAGCTTGAGAGAAGTCTTCAAGCCTGTGGATATTTGTATGAGCAAGAAGGTCTGAGTAAGAAGTAAATGCCTGTAAGGCAGAGAAGGAGCTTTTCCTTTGGGAATTTGATGAAGCAAGAGGACAGTCGGTGGTCATTCAGCCCTGCCTGAAAGCAAAGAGGCCCTCCCAGACAGCTCACACCTACATAGATGCCCCAGCTTTCTCCCTCCTCCATCTCTGGGACCTACAGAATAGGCATCACCTCGGAGTTTGCTTAAAATGCATCACCTCAGAGTTTGGTTAAAATCCACCCCAGACCTGCTGATTCTGAGCCTGCATTTTTTTTTTTTTTTTTAAGATTTTATT